CAACAATTAAACAACATAGCTGCAATATGTGAGAGAAACAAGACGCATGTTGAGTACCTAATCATGACGGCAAAAATGTCCGACTTTGTGTTCTTCTTTTATACTCTGCAATTCCTCCAACCTTGATATATTTCTCGGAAAACTGATCGCTATATAGGCATAATGAATGACAACCCCTTGCGTTGAAGGCAACGAAGCTAGATAATATTGTCTCGCACAATGCAAACGAGGTAGGGAGTCCTATGTTTCTACATCCACTGCTAAAGATCATAGATTCCGCTGTCGATTGCAGAATCTGGAAAATCTAATGGTCACGCGTGTGATATGTCTTAATGAAAATCGAGTGACAGTAGTCAGCAACTTGCTCTCGCTAGATCTCTATCTCGCGAAACGAAGAGTACCGACATGATGGCCAGAATTCCACGAAGACCTTAGGAAGGAAAGTGGTGTTGAGCGAGAAAGCGACTTCCGACAGTGATCGGAAACAGGCACGCTGTTGTGAAAAAGTGATACAGGTGCTGGTGTTCCTACCCCAGTCTACGCGTGGAAATTGTCAATAGTATAGCTGCAAAAAATACGACCTTTGTGTTATCTCTACTTCGCCTTTGTCATAGCTTGATGAGAAAGCGTAGGTAAAGAAGGCTGTCAGCTCTGGCACTGCTTTATTTTTCGGAAGTATGACTGGAGCTCGATGTTTTTCTTCAATAAGCAGACAGGAGGAACCTCGTGCCTGCTTAATGAAGAAAAACGTCGAATTACCAATCAATGCCGAAGTTAAAAGAAAGTCGATCGTGGGAATGACTGAAGTTGTAAGCGTCCACGAAGAATTGGTGTTCACGGATGTCTTCGCTTTGAAGAGGACTCAAGATGTGTCTGCGCAACTACTGCCTTCAGATTTTGGTTGCCTAAAGAACGTTTGCCTACGCGAGTGACCACTTTTACAATTTTTGAAAGGAAATGCCGAAACGTAACCTTTTCAGACCTCGGAGCTTACGCCAACATATGTGGAGCTTATGACAATTCCAAGGCAGGCATCACCTACTTTCCAATCACTTGATTGTACCCGCACGGGAGTGTGTACGCAACCACGATCATATACAATTTGGTTTAGTAGAGGCAATGAGTACATTCCTTGAACTAAATGTCGTCAGAGGAGAAATATGATACAAGATAGTTTGAAGCCCTCGTTTAACCACTCATCCTTCGGCTGCGGATACGCCACGTAGCATGGCAAGTTAGGTCAAAATCACTTGTACAAAGATAAAAATGCCACCAAAGGCAATAAATGACTATAATAACCTGGACATTAGTGTAATAAATACTGTAAAGAAGACCTCATGTAGGAAATCTCAGGACCGGCTTTCCCTTAACCTCAGCATCGATCGTGTCATGTACTGTGTTCTAGACGAGCAAACAAAAGGATGCTATCAGCGAAATTAGTTCAATACAATGCTGGTTGTGGTTTCGACGGTTTCGCCTTCTTCGGAGCCGTTTTGTTGTTCTTAATTGCTCCAATTATTATTGGAAACCAGCGGCACAGAGTCTAAATGTCTGGAATGGCTTTAAAACGTCTTACAAAGAAAACTACTCTGATGAAGGTGAAAACGTCGAGACGTCAGCTAAAGTGTATTAACATTGAGTAGTTGAGAGTGGGAGGAAGCTCATTCTTAAGGTGCTGTAGAACCCATGACGTATGAGAATTGACATAGAAGGCTCAATATTTCTGGGAGAACAGAATCGATTTCAACCCCATTTTTTCTGTGGCAGAGTTTTTTTTACTATTTTCAGCCAATACTATAGAATTTTATTCCACTGCTACCTTTTGGGCGCTTTTATTATTGAAAACTTTTCTGCTCTAGGTTCACCACTTCGTAAGTGGTTGTCGCACCAAAACGTGAAGGGTTCAAGCTCTTCTATTTATCAGCCGAATACTAAGCCCAGCCGGCGAACAACACCATCAGGATTGATCCATCAGCATTCAGCATCCCATACGGCATCTAGTGTATCGTCAGTCTTTTATTTACTAATGCACTTCTTTACCACAACAGTTGTAAACCAAATACTTACTGGTCTATAGTTTTTAGTTTAGTCTACTTAGTCTACACAGCGGCACCAACTTTTCCTGCTTTTCTTCTGGTTCGCAGATTTACCAATGTATTAGTGCTTCTACATAGTGTTCACAGTTCTTCATTGTGATGGTCTTTGTGTTGTGAAGCACAATTTCAGTAGAGCCGCCTCAATATGTAGCCTGTATAGCTCGTCGAGAAGTCACCACAATATTGGGTATGCCTTTTTCCATCCAGTATTTTGCCATTTAAAAAGGTTCTCCGTAGAATAAATTCTAAATCGCGTCTCCAATTTTGGTCGTATTTAACTTTCTCATAAGATCGCTTGTTTTACTGCAATATTTTTTTAAGTTATGGCTTTTTTAGTGAGTGAAATCATTGAAAATTATTGTGTTTGCTGAAAAGTGGATGACTTGACGAGAGCTTTGACCTGTGAGGAATTTGAGAAAATACTAGCTAATACGTTCTATAACAAGCAAGGAGAAAAAAGCGGTGGATCCAAATGTACAGAAAAATAAATGTTAAAAGGCAAGGGATATTTACTCTTTTTTGCAGGTGCAATAATCGCCAGCCAGTTTTCAACTTTTCATCGCACATTCTGCAACTTCATATTGCCGGCCGATCAGTGAATGTTCCTGTACCGGAGTCTGTGGAAAAATTTAATCCATGTATCGAACAGCCAGCACCAGATTTTCCACCACCTCGGCTAGAGTGGGCTTATGGTAGGTAGGATTTTCACCTAAGTACTATGCACGATGGAATTAATCCCTGCGCCCATGGCCCATCAAGCTCTCCATCCATTCGGGGTCGGCAGATTTGTACCAGATTGTCTGGAAGGATAGCAGCACTGGCTCGATACATCGGTGGGCCACCGTCGGTCATTGTAAAGGCCAGATATGCATTCAGTCACCATATGTTTAACGAAGTTGAATGCACGGAGCATCCGTTAGGGATTGATCAACTCGGACAGCTTTACCCTTTATTCTTTACTATGCACGGAAAAAGCTTAGAATTATACAAAAGAAATGATTTGAAGAGAAATATTTAGGATTCATACACATTCCAGCAGTTCTACTTTGCTAATGTTTTACTGGGTGGATAAATGTTTTTTTTTCAAGTTTAGGACTGCCGAACTAAAGGGTTCTCAGACCACCACACCGTATACAATCTTCAACACTTGCCAGGGATTTGCAATATTGCCATTATGCGTTTTTTCGGAAACGGCCGTAGTTTGGAGCTTAGTAGAGGTTAGTATTCTCCTTAGCGGAGATTCTAAACGAAAGCGTTGAATGGTTTCCTAGCTTGAGTGACCCTGCTGAAGTTCTTCTTCTACATCTTGAGTCTGACATTCACGAACAACACACCACGATGGTTAGCTTTAGCATTTGACTAGTCCTCTTTTTCCATAGCAGAGCATCATGTGGGATACAACCATAACGATGCTGAGATATGAGGAAAACTCAGAACCATAGGTGAGTTTTGAACCCGCAGTAACCCTTACCAGTACCCCATGGTATCCACCACATCAACTAAACCTCTCCTCCTACCTTTCTGTCAGCCAGTTTATATCCTAGCGGTGCTATCAGCTATTACTCGCCAGTGAGAATGATCTCGGAAGCAAAAATCGGCATTGGTCACAGTTAAGCTGAAAGCTGCTTACGCTAGATTGCTAACAACATCGATAGAGTGCAAACAAGACTAAGATAAAGACAAAGCAATGGCATCGGCGGTGTGGTGGGTAACGTGAATGCGGATAACCACAGGTAACAGAGAGTTCGAAGCTGAGCTGGGCTTCCAAGTTTCGTTCGCATCTCATTATCATTGTATTTGCGTTAAATCACACTTGTTTTCCTAGTTTTTCTGCAAATTGTCTCGGCCACATTTGTTCAGCATCATTAGCTTCGCAGTTGAAATGAAAACATTATTTTGCTCAGATTACGCTTCGATGAATGACGTCAAAAGTTTTATAAGTTAATCACTTTTGACCAGCTCTTCCGGTCAACGGCGAAAGAAATTCCACAACCTTTCTGAGTGGAAAGGACGGGAGTGTTCAGTGTTTCTTAGTGTTTCTAACTTAGGTTAACTTACGACATCCTCAAATACACCTTTAAATTTGCTTCTATTAATCTCATTAAAAACATCGGATGGCAGTCGATAGTTGCTTGGCAACTTTTGAACACTGTGATCGTATTTAACACGGTAACACTTAGAACCTCAAGTGCCAATTATACCTGTGAGGTGGAGGAATGGCTGCCATGTCAATTGAATCTTCTTCAGGTTAACTGTTCTACTCCGAAGGAACTCTTCACTTTGCTTTTTGTGTACGGTTAACAACTTATGAGGCGAAAGTCTTGTGTTTGACCTGAAAATCAATCCCATAAAGGATAATGAACGACAAAGCTCTCGGCATTGATCAGTCCGCTTGGGATGCGCCATTCATTCGACTTCACTAAGCATTGTTGGAGGTGATTGAATGCATATCTGTCCCTTACAATGACTCGCAGTGACCTACCGATGTATCGATCCAGTGCTGCTATTCTCCTAGACAAATTTGGTACCAATTTGCGAGCCCCGGAGGGTTGGAAGGCCTGTTGAGCCTAAGGTGTGAGGACCGATCCCATGTGTGTTGCATAGCGCCTCCGACCACCGCCCATTCGCGCCCTTGATTTTTTTCCCATACACTCAATAATTTAGAGAAACCGTTTTTTGTATTGATTCGTTAAGCCACAGAGGTTGTTTCTAATGAAATTATGTGTGACTCGTACGTAGAAGTAGATCGGCAGGCAAGAGTTGGTTTCTGTTCAGAATATGCGCAATGAAGAGTTAAGCCTTGACACATATGGCAACCATGCGAAATTAAGTGTGGGACTGCATGTGAAGAATTGCTAATATTTAAGACTATGGCCAAAAAACATAGGACTGATGTTTTTCAATTGAGGAACTGGCTTTAGAAGAATGATGGCTGCTATAAAATAGGCCTAGAGATATTTTTAAAAAACAAGCATTTTTGTCCAAAGAAAAATGGTTCCCAACGGTGGTCCTTTTTTGAAGGATATCGCGGTAATGACGTACGGAACAATGTACACTATCTTCCTACTGGAGAACTCATCTACTTCTGCGGTTCGGTGGTAGTATTGTACAATGTGGAAGAGCACACTCAAAGGCATTATACTGAGCATACAAGTGATGTGAAAAGGTGAGAGAATTTTACACCAATAACAATGACGTTTACAACGGGTAGGTTAACTAAATCTAACTGGACGCACAGGGAGATAAAAGTTCTATTATGCCAAGCGTGGTTGGTGATGTTGGTTTTAGCTTCTTTTTGAAAAGGGACTTGGTTGAATTTGAAAAACTCTTAAGAGGATAATTTCTGAGTTGCATCTTCTCAGAGTAAATGAGGATATGCAGCCAAAGGATTAAATTTTGTGATACATCTAAAGATTGGCTAGACGCTATTGTTCGACTACCTGTACTCTACTCATGCATTCACTTTCATATTTCAATCGGAAAGAACAAGAAACATCAACTTCACTTGGATTCTTCGGACAATAACAGTTTTCTACGAGTCCTTCATTTAATCTTCTTTTCAATGGAGAGTAACTGCACAGTGTTTACTGGATGGTGAATGCACCTCTCTCACCTTAGAGGATTATCTCAGAGATAATGCGAGCTCACGCATGATAACAAGACATTTCTCCCTTTCTTGATTATTCACAGCCACTCTTAACAAATACTGTAACAACAATCTCGTCTTAGTTCGCCAAGAAATCAGTGCATTATTGATCAATGCAGGGTTAATATAGGAAGTCCGTCCTGGGATTTGTTACAGAGTGAGACACATCACGTTTCTGCAGTGGAGGAAGCTTTCTGGAGGATTTCACTTCGGCAGAGCAAATAATGAAATCGTTTGGCTTGGTGAATTGGACAAAGTTAAGACCGAAGAGAGTAAGAAAGACAGAACTGAGAAAGCAAAGAACGGAAATTGTCAAGAGGGCAATAACTAGTCGGGAAGAGATACTACTACAGCATTGTCAAATATCACCTCTATTCTTTTATTTTCATCAGCGTGGTCTACTTGTTCGTTATAATGCTGCGCCGTCTTCAAGATTTTCTAAAGTAATGATATGTAGACCTTTTGTTTTTCTCGATCTACGATTTAGGTTTTATTAGCTTTAGTTTTTCTTAGTCTTTTAGCTTTATTATCTATTTAAGTTCTTTTGCTTATAGCTTCTGGCTCATCTCAGTTTATATGTTCAGCATTTGTATTCACCCAAATCGAGTGGTTGTGGCTAGTGGTCAATCAACTTGTCACCAACGAGAACGCAATCCCGAGATCGAACATCGTAGCCCAGTCATTAGCTTGCTTGACCTTGAAAACGACAGCGACAATCGGCATACAGAGGTAGAAGTGCATTAAACATCTCTTAAACAGCAATGATTTTGAAAACAGATAGCGAAATTATTTTAGCAAATTACAGCCTTTTAGACAAAATGAGAAAATGCGGTTGTTCTATTAAGCCACATTTCCTAACTACTTTATACTAAGCAAATGCTCCATACGTAGTTCTAAAACTCAGGCTTAGATTAAATAATGGTACAGATTTACTAGATCTGCTAGGGGCGCTTGTGATACAGTGGTCGGAGGCGCTCTGCAACATACACGTGGAATCGATCAACGCGCCCATGGCCCACCAAGCCTTCCGTCCCTCTGGGATCGGTAAATTGGTACCAGACTTGTCTGGGAGGATAGCAGCACTGGCTTGATAAATCGGTAGGCCAACGCGAGTCATTGTAAAGGCCATATATGCACTTGATCGTCTCCAAACGGTGCTTAATGAAGTCGAATTCATGGCTATCACTCAAGCAGAAGCTTCTCTACAGCCTCACGTACACCATTTGACAAAGTGAAAGAAAATAAGATGCAAACACGGTTTCTTAGCCGGAAGGAGTGTGGAAAATTTTAAAGAGAAGGACAAAAACAGTCATACCTTAATCAAGGCACTCGTATATCAGATATGACAAGAAGACGTTAAGGCTCATGTGCGGATTTGGGACAGTGTCACCCTCACTACGCTACAAATCCTGGGAGGCGTAAAGGCCATGTTCGAGAAGGCTGTAGTAGCAGTGGCATTTTCTACCACAGATCCTAAGTTTTTCTTTTCTTTACTGGCTTGTTTGTGAATAATAAGAAAAATTCCTATCTAAGCGTTTTAGTTGGAAATCTTTTGCTCTGTGTTGATGAATCTTGCCAGCATATGATATCTGTGTGGAAATGGTCAAAGCCGAAGAAAATTGCTGAGAGTAAGGTTAGCAACAGCTCGCACTAAATGTGTGCTCTTGATAAGTAAAAATACTTTCCTCATTATCTTAACTCTTTTATTTACTGCCTTTTTCTTCTTAATGGCAGGTTATGTTGCGAAATATAACTCGTACGAAATGCTGAGATATTTGCAAAACTCCGGACAGCAGGTGTGTGCAATGGACGGTAAGGACAACAGCGCGTGTTCGTTCTCCATTGCATACACCTGTGGTCCGGGGTTTTGCAAATATCTCACCATTTCATACTTTCCTCATTGTTTGAAGACTTGTTAAACGCTGGCCGGCCTGTTAATATTCTTAGTGATTGAACTTCCATATAACTTGCCTTTATGAAAGCCTTTAGAGCAACCTTCGAGCATTTCATGGAAGACGGTTTGCCGTTCTGTTATGGATACTCTCGATTTGTGAAGTTTCGACTAGTTACTGTTCTTTATAGGAGTTCGATTTACCTCTGAATTCGGTTGATAAGCCTCACACGATCCGACTTGACACCTATTGTGCGGATCCTACCACTTTTAGCGCTCAATCCGTTTCCTCACAATCATCACCCACTGAAGTGCGTGCTATTCTTGCGCGTGGTTTCCTCGAATTCCGTGATAGCAATGCTACGGCGCTCCCATATGTTCATCATAAGCAGACATCAGCTTTTGTGGATTGGACGTGGCTAGCTGATTCCAGATGAATGCGCTAAGAATTTCCCGACCCAGGAGTGAAAAGTAGCTTGATTCGCCCTTGCGACTTGCTTTTGATGAACTGTAGCACTAACACTGGACTACGCGCCCCTCAGTGTTAATTTAATTCTAAATAATACAAATAGCGAGTGAACTTTTAAAAGTAGTTATTTGTAATCTGTAATATATCTAATCCTTCTTGTGACTGGAATGGAGATTAGTAAGGCCTCCATTACTCGTATTAACGCACTAGAGCTTTTCATTGAGTTGCGCTTACTTGGGTTGCAAGAAGAACGTCGTTTTTCGTTTTGAATGTGTCTGAACTGAGCAATATTCAGGAATTGTTGACATGGTTTACCGGGATGGACGTAGGGCTTACTCGTTGGATGTGAGCCTTACCCCTGTTTACTCCCCAGATACTCAGCTTTGACCAAATCAATTGGCAACGTGCAAACCGAATTTACCCAAATAGCGAAAATTGTATGCGTATGGATAAATATTATTTCATTTCTACTTACTTGGATACTTGGATACCTGGATCGACCCGCTTTATGGTTCTTTCATCTCAACTTGTTTTCCTTTCGTTTCGTCATTGTGATCTGTTTGAAGCATAGTGACATCTGCGAGCTTTTTCCAATGTTCTATAAATACATGCACTTTTGAGTACAACTCTGCCCCAGCTAAGCATCGTCGATTAGGTGAGTATTATAAAATAATCCTTGTGAAGAGTATGTAGAACACACTGAATGAGAAAATTGTTGCGAAGGTCCTTTCGCTCGCCTTTCCTTTGCCAACGTACAGTGAGCAAGGTCAAAATCCGGTCAATTTTGCAGATATATAATAATATGGGATTTCAGGTCAGTACTCTTTCCAATCAGTTTTTTAAAAAAGCTCACAACATTTTTTTTACTACTTCTAACGTTTGGAATCCTTTCGGAAGGATCTTCTGATGTTGGCATTTATTGACAACCGAACCAGTTTTTCCTGCAATAGGATCTACCACCAAATTTCCTCTCTTCCAGTATAATTAGAGGACGGGAGCGATTTATGCTTTTTGATTGGAAAATTGATGCAGGATGGGCGATTCTTAAAACCTTTGTTCTATAAAAGCACTTTTCTTTGCGTCTCATTTGGGCGTGCACCGGTCCTTCGGCAGAAACCGATGACAGTGATCATATACTAACCTAGACGAAACTGGAGGATGCACAAGTAGGCCAAGGATCTGACACAGACGAGGTGACAGTAGTACGCAGATGAATGTCCAACAAAGATTACATCATGCTTTATTTTTATTTCCTGCCTTCTATAATTTTTATGGTAGGGTATTAAGCGAAATACAACCACAAGATTGCTGAGATATTTGCAAAACTCCAGACCGCAGGTGTCTGCGGTGGCACCAAACACGCTGTTATCCCCAAAGCTTTTCTAATTTGTTAATTTCAGGGAGCAAATGACCAGATCTTGGCTGCAAGTTGGCATCTAAGCATGAAAAATCTTATTGTGACTTGTGGAAAAGGCCACCTCTCATTCTGGACGTTTGATTCGAAGGGAGCAACTCTCACCAAGAACTCTACCGTTTTTGAAGTTGTCTTTTGCTAAACTTGTCAACAAATTCTTCGCTCTAACCATCCTAAAAATCTTTCTCTAACTGACATTTCCAGTTTTTCTTTTCGTCCTATTTCTCATGGAAGGACTTTGCTTATCTTTAGGGCAGAGATAAACCGAAAACTGTGATCGCTCTGTGCTTTAGCAAAACTGGTGAAGTCATCACTGGTGACTCGAACGGCACACTTTCCTTATGGGACCCGATTACCTTTAAGATCAAAAAGCAGGTTAACTTAAGGAATTAATTTTTTTCGAAATAGGACTGTTTAAACGTCTTCCTATCTATTTCAGAGCTGTAACCTAAGATTTGTTTTAAACACGAATCCATGAGAAAGTTTTCTCTTGATAAAACCGTTGTCGTTCATTCTGTTAACTTTACGGAATAAAATGTTCTGTTTTGTCACTCATTCGTTATTCGAAAACGTATGAACCCGTTCAGGAAATTTTTCTTTTAAAACCACCTTATTATTGTAGGGAAAGATAGACTGTTTGGAAACTGAGGTGACCTTCTTCCTGGTAAATGAAAAGATAAATTGAGAGTTTGTGCATAATTATTTACTACCAAAGATGTCTCCAGCGATTTTATACTATTCTATTGCTATTTTTTTTAAGCCGTTTAAAACAACATCCCAAGCACTCTAAAATCTGTGGATATCACGCGTGTCTTACATTTTTTCCCGCCTTATTCCAGACTTTTAAAATTCTTCTATTTCGTTTGCTCCAAATACGAGATATAGAGCCCGAAATCGGACCACAAAATTCTGGCGACGATTAAGGATAAGGGATAAAGCTCTCGGCGTTCATCAATCCATGAGGGATGCGCCAACCATTCGACTTTATCAAGCACCGTTGGAGGTGATTGAATGCATATCTGGCTTTTACATTGACTCGCGGTGGCCTTTTGATGTATAAAGCCAGTGCTGCTATTCTCCCAGGCAACCTTCTTATCAATTTGCTGATCCCGGAAGAATGGAAGGCTTGGTGTGCCGTTGGCGCGGGGACCGACCCCAAGTGTACTGCAGGGCGCCTCTGACCACTGCGCCATACGCACCCTGGGAACGATTAGCGCATATTAAATTTTCCGATTTTCAATACTTTTCAAAATTTCTGTCTCTCTTCTTATGTTTCTATATCATTAGTTTTCAATTAAACTTTTCTTGTCTAATAAAGGTATGGTTGTCTTTTAGGCTCATGCGATTCATCCAGGAGGAATAATGGCGTTATGTATAAGTCGTAAAGGAAGTATACTCAGTGCCGGAAAAGATCGTATGATTGCAGAATGGGAAACCAACGATTTGGTTAGAGGACGGAGGCCTATTGAGGTGACAAAGAGGCCTTTTGTAAACACCTTGTTTTATCCTTTAAATTATGCATTTTTTGAAATAGTTGCCAGGATCGACTTTCTCTTAACTTCGGCATTGGAATATGAATGTGTCGTTTTCTTGTTCAGCAATCGCGAGGTTTTTAAACAGCATACATTTACTTCCATAAAAACCACAATGCAATACAACGCTAGCTGACGTTTCGGCAGTATCGCCTTCTTCAGAGCCTGGAAGGGCATGCTGATATACAATCTACAAGGCAACACAATACAACGCTAGCTGACGTTTCGGCAGTATCGCCTTCTTCAGAGCCGCTTTTTTTCGTGACTTTCAATGAGGAAGTTTAAAACAACTGCTCACGAAAAAAGTGGCTCTGAAGAAGGCGATAGTGCCGAAACGTCAGCTAGCGTTGTATTGTATTGTGTTTTTATGGAAGTAAATGTATGCATTTTTTATTTACTTTTTTTAAAAATGGAATTAAAAGCGCAAATAAGGATTCTTAAGCGCCTATTGGATTAGAAGGGTCTTATTCACAAATCATGTCGGTCTCTGTAAAACTATCATTCACTCACGTCACATTCATCATCTATTAGATATGGTCCATCCAATGTGTGGTAACTGTCACGAGATATGAGGAATATAACATCTGTGCACACGATTAGCAGAGCTCATAGAACCTCATCGAATAATTCTAAAACTTTTTAAATCGTTCATTTTAGTTTATCTCCATGTTTCATATGTATAGCTGAAAGTTATTGTGCAAAAGCAATATGGTTTTTGAAGATCTGAGCTACAAAATTGAACCGAGTGCTTAGTTTTAGTTCTCAAGAGATGGGAACAGTGAGGTGATACATACGTCGCAGTTTTTGGGTTATAGCCTATTTTGATAGGGCTTATATTCGGAAGCAGAATGCTTTGTAGTGTTTTTGTTATCTACATCTTGCTTGATAGTCGTCGTATGGCGGTTAAAGTGCCGTGCAAACTAATGGTCAAATAAAATCCTCACGCGACAGAACTCGCCATCAGATCTTTTATGCTGACAGTTTCTTGCATTTCGTTATGAAAATTATTTAGGCAAAAGATAGCTCCTCATATATCCGCATGTCTTTCAGAGCAGAAAAGTGGAGCACAGAGAAAAGTGTGTATGGTTCCAGATGAAACTTTTATCCTAGGGATTTTTCTTTCAAAGAAATTAGTGTCAGACTACAAGTGTCATTATTTTGTTTCAGAACAACCATCCATAGCTGATGCTCAGTGACATCAAGAATATTTCGAAGTTAGGTGTTTTTCGAAGTGATATATATTTTCCAAACCACGTTTTTGTTTAAAAAAAAGCCTTTGACGTGAGGCGTGGTTTATCCGCTTTTTCACTAAGATTACTAAACGCGGAGCGGACTATCTCATGGCCGACAGCCACAAAAGCGGAATTGATGAATATTGTATTCAAATTGTTGAGTTTATACGAGGTTGATAAATGTGCATTTTTCGGCTAAGGTTTCGACGTTTTCAGCTTCATCAGAGCCGACGATCTGTGGCGGCTGTCCACAGTTGTTCGTTATCTCGATGTGGCGTTTTCGTTGTCGTACCGTAAATAATGAGTTTTCTCATGACCGGCTTTCCTTTAACCTCGGCATTGGTTGATAATCCGACGTTTTTCTTCAATAACCAGACACGAGGTTGTTATTATAAAATTTATTAGGATGCAGTAGCTGACGTTTCAGCGGTTTCACCTTTTTCAGAGCCCACTATTCTCCTCCAAAGGGAATCCTCCAAATACTGAACACAATAAGAGTCCTTCAACTTGCACTTCTTAAATTGCGCGTACATGGTGTCCTGTTTGCATCGAAGAGATGCGCGTTGTAGTCGCGTTTCGATGTCCAGTACTAGTTGGCTGTTCCTCGGTAGGCCGCATACGTCGTTTTTTTTCTTGTAGTCGTTTTGTTTGATGAAGTTCTGCGCAACTCGGTGTTTTAGGCAGCGGTATTGGACATCGAAACGCGACTACTACGCGCCTCTCCTCGATGCAAACAGGACACCATTTTAGCGCAATTGAAGAAGTGCAAGTTGAAGGAATCTTATTGTGTTCAGTATTTGGAGGATTCCCTTTGGAGGAGAATAGTGAGCTCTGAAGGAGGTTAAAACGCCGAAACGTCAGCTATTGTATCCTAATAAATTCTATAATGACAACCTCGTGTCTGCTTATTGAAGAAAAACATCGAATGAGTATTCTATTGAATTTCTCATACAGATGTCGAAGTCTCTAAGTAATGAAGTGAGGAATGGATATTCCGTGCAAAAAAGGTCTATTCAGGAACTTTTGAGCGCATTGGATAAAGATATTGGTGTTTGGAGAACAATTTATAGCACCCTTTTTGTCTATATCTGATTCATGTCTTCCTATTCTTTTCAAGCGTCAACGGTTCGGTTCAACTAACAGTCAATAACTCATTTGTTACTAAATTATACACTCACTTTTCGCTTATTTCACTATTTCCGTATCCAGGAACATTGAATTCTAGAAGCTTAAATTTGGCTTCAATTTTTTCAGCTACCGGATGACGCTGGCATCCCACGAACAATCTTTAATCCAGAAGGTAGTAAAATCGTAGTCGGTACGTCACGGAATGCATTATTCGCCGGAGATTTTGACGGCGGATTTGAGGAAATTATCGATGTGAGTTATTTTATGGGATCCGAGAAAAAATCTCCGTAAAATTAAAACTAAAATTGAACATACACACAGCTGCTGGTGTTATGATGTGAAGGCGATGACATGAAATGTACTATAAATTTCGTGTGATTTTCATGGCTGTCTGGACTCAATAAAGCGTCCCCCTAGTCCACTTGGTAGCCTGTCACTCTTTAACTCGACTAAGTTAATCACGAAATTATCCTTCTTTATTTGCTGGTACGCTTGACTTGTCCGTATTCGCTAATCATACCTTTTCAACGTAACGTACCATCATAATGGTATTTTCGTCTGTGGAGAAGCTTTTTTTCTTTAATTCTTCGTATTTTTGTTGAGCAAACGCGAGGTGCTATTACGGTATTAGCGGTGTTAACGCGGTATTTGCGAGGTGTTTTTCTTTAACTTCTTATGATATTTTAAGTTTCTACGGTAGATGGTGATTGCCTTTAGTTGATCAGAATATTTACTCACTCTTAAACAGGATCACGACTAGAACGCTGGCAAATGCTGACGGTTCCCGTATGAGCTGATTTTTTTCTTTCAATTATCGTTCATAGTGTTACTGTTGGCCTATGACTCCACAAAGTTTTTCCCGTGAATAAAATAACTTTCCTATGATTTATAGGATACAGTAGTTAAGTTTCTAACAGTTTTTAGGGCGATTTTGAAGACGTGACGTGTAGTGCACCAGTGCAATCACACCTGTTCATAACTGCAAACGCTGATGGTGGAATTCGACAGTACAACACATCTACGAAGAAAAGAGAATGGAGGATAAATCATGGGGTACTCTTTGTGGGCGGTAGTAACTGCATTTACGAAGCTCACTAGCTTACATGTCATCGGCGGCCAATCATAAAAAGTCATGTTCTCAATATTTCACAAAGATAAAGAGGTTCTAATGCGGAAGCCGATAGCAAATAAGTTAAGTAGATACGTTGCTTAACATCTTTGCCTAAAATGGTTAGTAAGCCGATATTACAAAATTTAGGAAGGCATTACGTGCGTTTCGACGAACTCTGAAGGTTCTCTTCTTGCTCTAGGCTGTTGTGGTGGTTCCTGGAGCATCATGGACCTTTCAACGAAGGATATGATAGTCGAACAAAAGGAATCTACACAACCGATCACTGCCATACAGTTCTCTCCCAATGGCGCTCTACTTTTTGTTTCCACAAAGGTAATCCTTGTCGTGAATTTATTCACTGGCACTCAATTCTCTACGCTGCTGTCATACTAGATTACTGGAGAGTAAATTAACTTACTTTGCGTATGTAAGTTAACTGACATCCAGAGCTATTCGTTATTCGTAAAAATTTAGCCGATTACATGTGAAATCTGCCTCACATCACTAAGTGGATAGCATCGAATAAAAATCATATAAAAGCCACTGCATCGTTTTCTTACGACGTAGGTGAACGCAGATCGACGTTTTTCTACTCCTTATTTGCTGGGGTGATTTATCACCACGAAGAAAGGAAGGGATATTGTGCCTGTAAACTGCCCATGAGTTTCTTCAAATGCCAGCGAAAAAATTTGGAACTAACATGTGAATATCTTCCTTTAAAATGCGTGGTACTGTGCAAAATCACGAATTCAGTTGTGATCGCAATACAACCAAAAGTGAGGAAGGTAAGGCGTTAGACAGAGTGAAAACGAGAGATACCCACCACTTGTAATTAGATTTAAGGACGAAAATTTTCGTCATTTCGGTGAGTATTGCAGAAATCTGTGTGAACGAAAGCGGTTGAGTTTCGCATTAACTAAGGAGATGTTGTTTGCTATGGAAAATGCTTTATTGGAAAATACATGCTATTTTGTCGCTGAAGAACCGAACATCTGAATCGGGGAGGACACGAGCTGAAAACATGAAGAACCTTTCACCAGTCCTCACCAATATACTGGCCCGTCTCTTCATAAGTTACATGTTAGAATCAATCTAAGGTTTCTACTGGATGAAAAACCAGCAAGACTGTCTTACCTTTTACAAACGGTGACCTCCACAATATAGCAATTATCGCCATATCTGCTTGCTGTCCGTCGTCTATGAACTCTTCACTCGACTCGTACTAAACAAAATTGAGGGAACACTGCGCGAAGGACAGCCATTTCAACAAGCAACCCTTGGAAAATCATTCGATATGCATGAAAGCCGTAGACAGCCGCTGCAACCCTACTCAGTATATAAAGAATTTCTGTGAACTGTATAGAAATTTTACAACAAAAATACCACTATTCTACGACAATGTTATCATCGGCGTTAAAAGAGGGCTTAGAGAAAGCGATTCCCTCTTGACAAAATTATTTAGCTTTGCCTTCGAGAACGTCATGCGAACATTGAAATGGGGGAACATGAGAGTGAAAATCAATGGTTGGAACTTACACCATCTTCGCTTTGCTGATGGCATCGTTCTTGTAATATCAAACATTAGCCAAGTGGAAAGACTTTGATAACACCTCTCGAATGACTGGTCTTCGGCTGAATCTCACAAAAGCGATTTTCATGAACAACTTATGGGTTTCGTATGCCTCATTCACGCTCAATAGATTAAATATCTCCGAATGCTCCAGCAATATCTGTCCGTGTCGGGAAATCAACATTATGAACGACTTAACTCCAGGATTGAGCAGGAGGAAGCGAGTAGGTTGGAAAATTTACAAGAGCATGGAAGAAGTAGTAAGAAGAATAGAGAACACCGGACTCCGACCCACCTTTTCGACTACACGGTTCTCCCTGCCTTAACCTATGTATCTATGTGTCGTGGTCGTAGTCGCTACTTAAACAGGATGAAAGACCATCACTTAGTGTTATCGAACGAGCGGTCGAAGGGATACTATTTGGAGCCCATATCCATATTGGTTATCAATCATCATCGCTCTCAGTTCAAACCACTCTTCTTTTCAAGGTCGACCAGTATGAAATAGACAAGTGAGAGAGAGATAGAGATAGAGATAGCATTCGAATCTCTGATCCATGTCAACGATCAACACTATCAAAGATGCCGTTCTTTGTACCAAACTGTCGAAGACAAGGTGTTCCAAACGAGTAATGCATCTCAGCAACAACCGATAGACGAGAGTAGTTAGTAACTGGGTTCCTCAAGATGACAAATATACTGCAAGAAGAGCACCGATTCAATGATGATGATGATGATATTACCTATACGGAGCAAATTTCTTGATAGCATGCTCATTTTCCAGGATGAAGGATAAAGGATGAAGCTCTCAGCGTTGATCAATTCCTGAGGGATGCACCATGCATTCGATTTCATCAAGCATCTTTGGAGGTGATTGAATACATATCTGAGCATTACAATGACTGGCGGAGACCTACCCATATATCGAGCCAGTGCTACTATCCTCTCGGAGAAGTCTGGCACCAATTTGCCGATTTCAGAGGGACGGAAGGCTTAATGAGCCACGGGCGCGGGGATCGATACCTCGTGTGTGTTACAGGGCGCCACCGACCACTGCTCCACGCGCGCCCTATTTTTATTGTGCTTTTTCCAAGTTATTTTTAAACGCTTTTAGAAACTCTAAATTACATTAACACAAAGTTTACTTGTTACTTTTCATTTGCTACCTATTCTTTTCCATAACAAGGTATTCTGTCAGACACAAACACAAGGATGCTGAGATATGAGCAAAACCTGAAATCTGAGGTGGACTAGGCACCCGCGATCACCCGAATATACAGTAAAAAAGAGTTAGGCGTTCTGATTTCGACTGGTGCTTAAAATTAACTGGGGCCAATGCCTATCTATGCGCTTCACATCATTTCCGTTGACGGGTGATTGTTGATGAAACGTTTAGAGTAAATTAAAACTTTCTGAGATTTAGGTAAAGCTTGGTCTCTGTTGGTGTAATGGACAACACGTGAGCCCACAGAAAGGGTAATTGCGAGTTGAAAGCTCGTCTATGGTCCCGAGTTTTTCTCATATCTCAGGATCTTTGTGGTCATATTAAATGCGTTAGAGGTCTAATGACTGAATAAGGGAGTGTTTTTTAGAAGAACTGATGAGTCGATTAATCTTTGCCATCGTCTTATTCCAATTCTTACTTAAAATATCTTAAGATTTTTCAACTTTTTCTCCAATTTTCCATTTCGAAAACGAACGTGTTATACCCAAAGTAGAAGTTTTCCAGGAACCTTCCGCTGTGATATACCGCTTCGATAGTTTACAGAGGTGTCACCAAATCGCTCGAATCGGTTCTATATCATCGTTCGTAATCTCATTAGACTGGGATATGGATTCACAGTTTATTCGAGGCAATTCCGCCAATGGGCATATTTATCACTGTAAGTAAATAAACGGATAGGAAGATGTTAAGAGTCATACGCAAGGAACATCATTTCTCCAGGGTCAGCAACTGGTGAGTCCGTAGACCATGCTAGAATATGCAACTCGAAGTGGGCGTCTTGCAACTGCAGGATATCGTTTGAAGCAGGCTGTGTTGCTCATTCTGTTGAAGGTTTCAATTTTGAGATGAATAAAGTGACGATAATTTCGTTGTAAACGAAGAAACAGATCTCAGACATTTATTTATTGAGTGGATTCTGTAAGCAAACACGTAATAACATTTTTCTCTATTCCCATAACCAAAGTTAGAAGCTCATCCTACCAAATGACTGCCCATAGATCCTACCTATAACTGACTAGAAACTAATTCCTAAAACCCTTTCGTCGAGTTACTAGATCTAGGGACGTTGAAATACCTATGGTTTTTCTCCACATTAAATTTTCTACTGTGATCGCTGAAGGAGCAAATATGAAAAAGGCCGCAGCCTATCGGAAGGAATGTCGAATTACCAGTGATCTTAGAAAACAACCATCAGTGGTAGAACCATCCTAAAGTTTTGAGGTATCATCTTTCCAGGTATAACGAGTGTTTGCCGTTCCTTTTCGCAGGATAAGCTTGCGATTGGACGTGATAATGGCTCAGTTCGATTATATGCTTGTCCAGTGACGAGTACCTCTGTAAGTTTCTCCATATATTCGACGGAAATACATTGACTTCTGGAGGGCCTAGTGAGAGCGGGGCACGAGGTCGGACCAACGACCTCGTGTTTATTGCAGGGACTTTTAACCACATCGCCACATGCGCCCCACAGTCATTGATAATGGGATATTATTATTGGAGATTTTTAACAATAAACTGAAAATTTTAGGCTGGTTTTCATGCTCTTGGTGGCCACAGTCATACCATTTCTGCTGTAACATTTACTCCTTCACATTTAATAACTGCTGGACTCATCGATGGTGCACTGTATCAGTGGCAGCTTTAGGAAAATACTGTACAAATAATTTGATGTCATTAGCGTTATTTTCATGACCATACCGTTCCTACGAGAGGATTTATGCTCTTTGTTACAAGATTGAAGGTATTTCTTTTTATTCTTTGTGCCAGATTCAGAACATGTTTTTGCTTCATAGCTATTTGAAATAAGAAGTTTTCGTTCCAGTATCGGTTAACAAAGTACGAAAAAGGTATTATAAAAGAACTCAAATCTGAAAGAGTGAGTAAACACGTTTTCCTATCACGACCTTCGCCCGATCCATAAAAGCCGGTGCCTACCTATGATGAACATGTTGAAACGTCACGGCAAAGGTAGCCTAGGATTCTAGAACAAAATATTCTTAAGCACCAGCGAAACACAAACAATTATTCGAAGATCTTTGTGCATAGTATTATTATTGTCTGCTTGCTGAGATACAAAGGTTATTTGTCTTAAGATCTCGTACTGACCTATCTCTTCTGTTAAATTCTGTGTCTTGAAATCCTCCAAAATGGTGAATGTTGAGCATTTCTTGGAAATCGCGCTTTTATATTAGTAGTAGCTAGGTAGGGAAATCAACGACTGAGGTGCTTAATTTTAAATAAATGATGGTGGAAGTGATGATGGGTGGAAGATTGATTATTCTGTTTCTCAGTAAGATGCTATACATTATAGTAAAATGTTAACCTGCGTTATTCTTCTATTACGTTTAGTCTTCGTTCTGCCATTTTACTAAACGTTGTTGGACATTAGTACTGGCAGAGACCTGGCTGGTCCTCACTTCTCAAATTCTGGCATTTGGTGGAACTCACTGGAAGCTTTGCCGTGAAAATCCTTCTAGTACTAGTATAATATACCCACAATGGCACTGAGATATTCGCAAAACTCGGACCTCTGGCCAAATCGAACCACGATTACCCCTTCCGTGGGGATTGCGCATTACACACTGCACCATGGAGGCAGGTGCACTGCGGTTTTCTCAGCTATTTTTCTACCACATACCTTGCTTTTCTACTTCTTACTCTCCTACTTTTTTCTTCACATCATGTCCTGCCCTGAAAAATTACAGTAGGCAGAAAATAAAAGGTTAACTAGTATAGTAATAATTATTATATTCGTGACCTCTTCTTAAAATCCTCACTTCGTATAATTGAAGAATGATGGTGACAAGCTAGATGGCAACAATAATGACGATGCAGTTAGCTAATCTGCCTACATCTTCTGCTATACTTTTATCAGCGATTTTATACAAACTAGAATTATCTAACATTGCCAGAGTCATTGAGTAATGAGAAGGTCACTGAGGGTAGCAATGACCAGCACAATAGTAATTAAGTGTCCCGTTTGTCCTGTGGATTTATTACCACCTGCCTGTTGACAGACGATCAGTTGAGAATAATCGCTCTTCCTATTGTTTTTATGAGATATGCTCATGTACACTGATACATCTGATCATGTACATAATACACTCGTACTTCTAGAAATCATCGAAAAGTACATTTCTCATATTATGCACCTTGAAATTTAAACAGTCGGATATTAGGAAGCTTCATATAACGTTGCATACGCCGCTCATATTTAGACGAACTTAGTTTGACAGCTGGGTTTAGCGAAGAGCTTTATCATCACCAAGATGTCTGACATAGTTTGACCTTGTGAAAAGGCAGTTTCATTTTTGCGTAAAACTACGAATTTCTTAGCGAATGTAGGTGGAAAACGTTGTGGATAAAGGAGGATTGCAACAAGAGACATTGCACACCACGTCAGTTGACACGACTATTATGTTAATTGACAGTTATGATGGTGTTTGTTGTCCAAAAATTGAAATCATACGATAAAATCGCCTGAACAATGCTTACTTCGACTGCTACGTTCATGAAGGACTGTGTCAGGAGAAAGGTGGTTAAGAAAAAGCGAAAGGAAACAATAAGAAGGAGCCACCGAAATGTGGAATGGGGATAATCTTACAAAGGAGCTCTTTATATACCGAAGGCACTAAAAAATTCATCAAGGATGTTAAAACACTGGCTCTGATCCTTTCTTTCTGATAAAAAATTATAAAAGAAATCAGAGCGATGAAGCAGAGCCTCTTCTATACGCATGATATATCAACCTCGTAAGTCTTTTATTTCCCGAAAATCACACAGGATTATTAAAAAGCTGGTATGGGCACCCATGCAGGGCAACGAAACCCAACGACTGACTAGTTATTCACTGTTTTTCATTTGAAATAGTTATGGTAAGCTTTGCTTATCTTATGGAGTGGTGTGATGTAAGATATGTTAAAATACATCAAACGAGAGGATAAAGAATAAAGCTTTCAGCTTTAAAAAAGCTTTCGACCTTAATAAAAATAAAAAAAAGTATGGAACGATAAAGCTCTCGCCGTTGATCAATCCCTGAGGAATGAGTCATTCATTCGACTTCAACAAGCATCCTTTGGAGATGATTGAATGCATATCTGGCCTTTACAATGACTCGCAGTGGCCCACCGATGTATCGGTCTAGTGCTGCTATCCCCCCAGACAAATCTGGTACCAATTTTCTAACCCCGGAGAGATGGAGGGCTTGGTGGATCATGGGAGCGGTGGTCGATTCCACGTGTGTGTTACAAGGCGCCTCCGGTCACTGCGCCACACGCGCCCCACATCAAACAAAGACTGCAAAATCCTTCCAAATGTTGACAGAAATGTATTTGAATGCCGAAATATATAAAATGTACAATCTGCGGAGCAATATTATATCCGTTGGATAAAGCAGGGTCTCTTCTCTAACACTGAGATGCTCCCAAATCCACAGGTAACAACTTTATGGAAGTTATACACTGAAAAATTTCTGGTGTTCATAGATCCTCTTGTTTCTTTCATCTTCCTTAGCAATTTCTTATCATTCTCTCTTAGCTCAGATTTCTTCAGCATCAAACTAACTGTTAAAGCAAATCATTACTGTTAACTTACGATTAATCATTGTGACTGCAATGAGAAGCTCATTTCTTTCGCAATTCTCAGTAACGGTGGTTATTATGGAGAACTTTTTGGATTGTCCAATTCAAACGGATCGCACCTACAAGGTACGGGCAATATCTTTGAAAAATACAAGCACAATAAAAGTATATACACATTATATATATATATATATATATATATATATATAGCGCAGTGGTTGAAAGCGCCCTGCAATACACATGGGATTTTTCCCGCTTCCCGTTGCCTCCGAGCCTTCCATCCCTCAGGGGTCTGTGTTTTGGTAACCAGACTTGTCTCGAAGGACTGAAGCACTGGCTCGATACATCGGTTCGCCACCGCAAGTCATTGTAAAGGTCAGATATATATTCAATCACCTCCAACGATGCTTAAGTCAAACGCATGGCGCATCTCTCAACCATTAATCAGTGCCGAAAGCTTTATCCTTTTTCCCTTTTATTTATTCTAACGAACTGGCTTTGCTGAATTGATGCAAAGTTGGTGGAAAGAATGTAGCTGAGTCCAAATGTTATACAAGAAAACAGAGAAAATGATTCATCATAAGGGTTTTCTAAGCTCTGAAAGTAAGCGTAATGCGAATCACCTATCTGTTATAAAACACTGAGGTTTTCGTACTAACATGGTAACACATAAAGCCATAACTTCTGAAATATCAAGCCATTAATGAAATACGTAGGTATATGTATGATGTCAAAGTGGGCGTGCAAAAATTAGCACCCATTTTATCTTGTTAAGGTCTGACTTGGTCTTAATCAAACCTTATGTTTTCACGTAAGTACAGTATTCCATTTTGATGCTCCAATCTCACTATAAATGACTGTCTGTGCTCGATATAGATAGATAAAAGGAAAAAAAGTAAGAAAATAAATCAGACCACCATGAAATGAGTGAGTTAGTTCACAACGTACTTTTCCATGAGAAAGTTAGGTAGTGTATAAAAGTTATGCCATAAAGTAAAAGTAATTCTCTCTACGAGTGTAAACTTGGGCGTAAAGCCAGAGAATCAGTTCGTAATGTTAACGCTATGCTTTAACAGGAAGACTTCAGCTATTCTTCGATATAAAACTACATTAAAAAAGATGCATGGTAGAGATCACTAACCTGAAAGTGATGATGGCCCACAAGGAGCCATTGCCATGAACGATGTGTGTTAACTCACCTTAACTGAAGCAGATCCAGATCAGCGACACGACAACTTATAGGAGAACAATTCACAACGAAAACAAAACAATGTTAATTTTTTTTATTTACTGCCTGCAAATGGCTTAACCTCCGGAAAGGGAAATAGCGTCGTTCGATCCTCACTGAAGACAACAGCGGTTCGGAGTTTTGCAAATATCTCAGCATCATTGTGCTTGCATTTCGCATAATACCCTGTCGTGAAAAAAATGATGCGGGGAGTAAGTACAAAAAACGTTACGGTTGTGATTTCGACTAAAGCCTCAACTTAACTGGGTTCAATGCCGATTTGGTCACCGAAGATCAATCTACGGATCTCAGCATCACTGTTGTTGTAAAACGAGACAACTAAAACAACAGCAATTCTTCGTATTTTTGTTGAGCAAACGCGAGGTGTTATTATTCTTCATTCACGAATAAGCTGACGTTTCGGCGGATTTCGCCTTCCTCAGAGCCCGAAAATGAACCGCAGGGAAGAATGCCTCATTATCACGCGTGATATAGGGCAGTATGCAAGACTGCTATTCTGATGGGAGGAGCACATTACGATTCCATGTGATTTCTGCGCGGTCGG